TCAGAAGAGGGGCATTTTTATAGGAGAATAACGGGACGTGCCCAAAAGACATTGCTATCAGGCACAAACCAGGCAGTGAAAAGTTCCCACCAGGTGGACTCTGTGGCAAAAAGCTGAATCCTTCCGGACAAAAATTAGACGAGTTCTATTCACTTCAATGGCCACACAAAAAAAGGAAAATATTACGTACAGAGAGCAGAAAGGAGAAAGAGAAGCAATCACAGACTCCTCAAAAAACCTATTCCTTCTCAGCAAAAAGGAAAACGTAATTTACCCAGAGCAGAAAGAGACGTGAGCGAAACTCCTCAATGAACACACCTAGAGACTCCTTAACAAAAATTAATAAAATCAGCAAGGTTTTTGTAACTGGCAAGCTGAAGACATCCACATCAAACGTACAGCTTGACAATTTGACCAGACAAAAACTAAAACACTGTCCAGCTTTCAGTACCCTGAAAAGAGACAAAACCTTGCGTCACAGAAAAAACTGTTGAGCTTCCGTTATGGACCTTTCCAAAAACAGCCTCAACATAGGTCTCTGAACCCATGCTGTACACAATACAAGGCAAAAACATTAACAAAACAAAACAAACCCACAGAAAGTTGCAAACACAAACAAATGTGATGTATGACGACAAAATCCTCGCTGACTGATTGTTCAAGTATAAAATAATAGATTAAATAATAGAGATAAATAACACCAGGTGAGTGTCCCTCTGTTCAGTCCGACCGACGAGACATCAGGCGAAGACAGTGACATGACGTCAGATGACGGCGACATGACATCAGGCGGAGACAGTGACATGACATTAGGTGACGGCGACATGACATCAGGCGAAGACAGTGACATGACATCAAGTGACGTTTTGTTTACATCTCTCCCCCTACTTCTCCCCTGCCATTGTCATTAAAAGTTGGTGGTGTTTTCAATGCGTCTATCTATTATAAGGACAGGCAACAACCCGGATCCAAGGAACCGGCGAAAACAAGAGAGAGTGTACACTCTGTCCGTGAGGGGAACGTAGGAGGGGACGGAGAGGTGGACAACGCTCTGGCAACCAACATTGTTTCCGTACCGCGATCCCGATCGCCGTCTGTGACTACCAGAGGTAAGCTGAGACAAACAACGATTGTGCTTGGAAAAAAGCATGGGGGCACATAGTGTTTCCAGGGTGCGCTCAGCTTCAAAAAGAAGAAAGTCTTCTGGGGGGGAATTCAAACGAAAAAAGACCGCGTGGGGAGAGGAGTGAGTCTCGGGAGAAAGGTGGCATTGAAATGGGAGAAAGTACCGAAGAAAGAAGTTTAGACAATACGGATTGGTTTGAAAAAAAGGACAACGCGTAGAGTTGCTTGTTGGTAAAAGCTTTTTTTTTATAGGTTTCCGACCCGGCACGGTTTTACGGACATACGAGTCTAGATTGTGAGTTGGATTTTGTTTTGTTGTTGTTGTTTTTACGTTGGTACAAACAATTCTTTCCTCCATTGATCGTTTTCTCTCCTGCTTGTCTTCTCTCGTCACCTCACATATCTTTCTCCTTCTCTCTCTTCTTTCGTACAGCACCTCTCCCTCCCCCTTTTTCTCACTCACATTTAGTACACAAGCTCATACATATTTCTTAACACACACACACACACACACAAACAAACACACACTCACACACACACATACACACACACACACACAATTACTCTCTATATTTCTTTATCTCTTTCTCTCTCTCTCTCTCTCTCTCTCTCTCTCTCTCTCTCTCTCTCTCTCTCTCTCTCTCTCTCTCTTTCTTCACCTCTCTCCTCACTATTATTACTCAAACTGCTGTGAAGTAAATCCTCTTCTTTACCCTAACTCAAACTTAAACAAAGATTATTATAAAGGTATTATCAATGATTGATCAAGGGCGATGATGCAATGTGATCGGATTTTGAATCATGGAGAGCGGGACTGAAAGAAATTTCCGAGTCGCGTCGATTTTGTCGAAGTCTAAATAACAAACTAAAGCGAAAAACTATCTTCCGTCAGTGTACAAAATTTGATATCGTTTGTCTTCAAGAAACGTTTATCACAGAGAAAACAGCAAAGGAATGGGAATTAGACTGGAAAGGAGAATTTTTTTTGCTGAAGGTACACAGAGAAGCAAAGGACAAGTTATTCTTGTTAATAACAGATCAAATTATGATAACCTTAAAATCGTTATTAAAACAGACAGAATACTGCTCTCTCTCTCTCTCTCTCTCTCTCTCTCTCTCTCTCTCTCTCTCTCCCTCTCTCTCCCGTCCTCTCCTAATCCGCGTCTTACTTTCCTTTTCCCTCTCTACCTCCCTCCCTTTCTCCTGTCCCTCTCTCTCTCTCTCTCTCTCTCTCTCTCTCTCTCTCTCTCTCTCTCTCTCTTTCTTTCCTTCTCTCTCTCTCTCACACACACTTCTCTCTCTCTCTCACACACGCAAACACACACACACACACACACACACACACACACACACACACACACACACACACACACACACACACACACACACACACACACACACACACACACTCGTCCACTATTGTCAGACTGTAACTTGTCCAACCAAAGCACATCTATCTAGATTTAGCTGGTAGCATATACACAGTTAATGATTTGTCAAATTTAAGATTCATTTTCAAACGTCATTTTGGAAATTACACAAATGTATGACGAGACCGTGTAGATGCAGACACAAGGTGCTTGATTGGGGAGTTTGAGGCCGCTCCCCCTGAGGCGAGGGGATACAATATTGTGTGTAAATTGTTCCCTCTCGACTCGGGTTCGAGGATCCTGTGTCGGAATCTCCGCAACTTCATATTGAAATAAGTATTAAGTCTATAACCCAGTTGTGAACTTGCTGCCTGCAAACCCCTTACGGAACCCCAAAAATAATATCTGCCGCCGTACTAGCTACCTACTAAGGTCTTCTCTTCACTTGTCTTGGTCCGCTAGAATAGGCTAATACTAACAAGGTCACCATAGCAGAGACTGTGCCCACCATTTCGGAACTTCACGGTGACATTAAAGATGGTTCCAGTAGGGAACGGGATAGCGGGTGCCCACATCCCTCGTGACTCATCAGAGCAGAGGAAGATAGGACTAACGCTTACATTATTTTTTTTAAAACAACAACAACCAAATAACAGAAGCATGTTTTCTTATAATTATAAACGTAAGCACCATCCCACATCACCACTTACCACCACCATCACCGTCATTTCTAAGGTCATCATTGCTCTAAGATCCTTCACAAACATCTATAATTATTTTAAACATCTATATGTAACAGTTATATGTCATAACAATTTTGTACGTTATACATTATTGGGCACTCTCATACGCACATTTTTCTACTAATCAGATGGCGTCAATATCCTAGAAATGGGCAAGGGAACACAAAAAAAAACCCAAAAAAACAAAACAGACAGAATACTGGGGTTGAAGTTCTCTCTGAATGATCAAATTGTTCAAATAGTAAATGTATACGGTCCAGTTATCACATCTGAAAAATTAAAATTCTTTGATCAGCTTCATTCTCTTTTGAACAATGGGGATGCAGACCATATGATTATCTCCGGGGATATTAATGCTGTATTGAACAACACCCTTGACATTATTAATGGAGAACCGCATAATGTGGTTGTGAATAGAAAATGTATCGACTGGGTCCAAAACTGTTACCTTAGGGACACATGGCGTTCGTTACATGGTGAGGAAAAAGACTTTACATGGTCAAGACCCACCCCGTTCACTGCACGTCGCCTCCACTACATATTCTGTCATGAGGAATTTTTACCACAAGTAGTAGAAAGTAGACACGAAATTCTCTATGGCACGGATCATAAAGGGGTGGTAACTGTTTTTAGAGCGGATGAATTTAAAAGAGGACAATCGTTTTGGAAATTCAATAATTCGCTATTGTATGATAAGGAATTTGTCTGTGACATGAACCAATGTATTGACGATTTTTTGGAATCTACCTCTGACTAATACTATGTAAAAAGATGGGAA